ATCATCATCATCACCACCATCATCATCATCATCACCATCACCATCACCATCACCATTATCATCATCATCATCATCATCGTCGCAATCGTCATCGTCATCGTCATCACTATCATCATACTCATACTCAAAATCATAATCATCATCAACATCAGCATCAGCATCATCAGTAGTATGTTTTGGTTTGGTGCGGTTCTCTCTCTCTCTCTCTCTCCCTCTCTCTCTGTGTCTCCTACCCTTCTCCACACTCTCCCCCTCGCTCTCTCACTCTTTCTTGCCCTCGCCGCCCAGCGCCAGTCGTGGAACGAGGGCCCGACGAGGAGAGGACGAGGAGGCCGCGCAGCCAGCAGCCTCACGAGCCATTTTGGTTCAGGCGCGAGCCGCGCGGGAAGGCCGTGCTCCTAGAGGGCTTCGCAGCAGCAGGAGCGGGGCCCTCCCAAAGCGCACCATCCGCCTCGTTGCTCGTCTTCGTGTTTTATGATGTTCAAACCCACTTTATGCTTGATCGCCGGAACGGGTTTCGAGCACCATGAGAGTAGCCCAACTGGAGGGATTTCACGCGTCGGGCCCTGGGGTGTGGTACTCATTCGACACTTCGCCGGCGTGTCGGGCAGACACTGTTTTCGAGACCTTTCTCCCTCACCCCTCCCTGGTTGCAACTCGTCGGAGGTTGAATTCGACGAATTCGGCATCGGCGCTGTTATACCCGTGATCGGTAGCCGACCCAACTGTTGGCCTAGCACCGCTTCATCCCGCTGGATTCGCATTGTTTCCGCTCTGACCTGCTGACTCGGGATCAACCTTTACCTGGGCCGAGCTGGTTTAACGGCCCCTCAGCCTGGCCGAGTAGCCATTCACCGTTCGGGTGTTGCCAGAAGTGCCCCTGGCCCAAGGTGCCCCCAGGATTTCTAAGGAGGCCCCCACGCGGCCTCCAGAGCACCCCTCACGAGGCCCGAGGGGTCCGAGGGCTCAAGATGAGCGAAAAGCTGGGGCCGCCCTGGGCCAGGGGCACCTTTGGCAACCCCCGACGAGTACACGCAGGTCGTTGAAAGCAGGCATTTCTGGATTCCCAGATGCTAATCTACTTCTAGCGCCTCCCTATTTCAATCATCGGCATGTGTTTGGTGTGGTTTGTTGGTGTGTTCTGTTATTTTCTGAGGAGGAGATAAACCCAATCTACCTTATGCGCCGTCATCCTTCATGGTTCTACCTACAGGCCTCGGAAGAAATCAGTGAACACTCGTGCCGCATTCATTTGTCAATGCCCCCCCGATGATCAGCGTTGGCGGTGGGTTGAATGAGCTGCACTTCATCCGCGGTCTGCCCCGCGCGTGCCAACTCCGAGTTCGGGAGACCGGGGGAGCGTCCACTACCCATCGGTCGTTGAAGGTAGATATTTTGGGATTCCCAGGTTCCACTCTACTTTAGGCGCCTTCCTGCTTGAGTGATCGAGTGGCTTCACCTTTTCCGTTCTCTTTGGGGGGCAGGCGGAAACCCAGTCTATTTCCAACGCCGACCTACTTCATGTTTCTATCTGCTTCTTGCGACCGATGGGTACTCTGTGTTTCTTGATAAGCGTGAGAGGGTACCCCCCGACTGGGGTCGACCGACCTCGCCTCGTCGTCGCGCCGCGACGGGGGTCGGAGCGCCTCGGGCGCGCGGCGGCTACCCGCGACGGGGGTCGACGTGGCTGTCGGCGGGGGTGACGCCCCCCCCCCCGACGCTTATTAGATACTGCGGGGTAGTTGGTTCCCTCTACCATACTTTAGGAGAAGGAGGAGGTTATGGAGATGGATGATGAGGAGGAGGAGGAGGAGGAGGAGGAGGAGGAGGAGGAGGAGGAGGAGGAGGGAGGAGGAGGAGCAGGAGCAGGAGGGGGAGGAAAAGGAGGAGGAGGAGGAGGACGAGGAAAAGGAGCATGCATAGGAGGAGGAACAGGAGGAGGAGGAGGAGGAGGAGGAGGAGGACGAGTACGGCGACGAGAAGCCTCCGAGCGACGCGTGGCCGCTCCTCGTTCCTTTCTCCCCCACCCTCGGCCCCGGACCGTGCTCCTCTCCGTGCCTCGCCCCCCCCGCTCGCCCGCTCCTCGCTCTCGCGGCCCCCCCCCCCGCAGAGGGCGCAGAGGGCGCCGCGGGTCCCACGAGCTCTGTTCGCACGGGCAGGCCCAGGGGCGCCCTCGAGGGCGCGAAGCTGCGCGCGCTGCGCGCCTCGCGGCTCGGCTCCGCTTCCTCCTCGTCCTCCTCCTTCACCCCTGGGAGGCGGCGCGAGAGCGCGAAGTTGTTCGCGCTTCGCGCAGCGCGAAGCGCGAGGTTGGGGCGATGCCCGTCGGTCGTTGCAAGCAGGCATTTCTGGCTGCCCAGGTCCCGATCGCTTTCTAGGCACATTCCTGCTTCGAGATTCGAGAAGGTGCTCCCTCTTCCCTCCTCTTCAGGGGGCGGGCGGAAGCCATGTTTGCTTTCGACGCCTTCCTGCTTCATGTTCCGACCCACTCCTTCCGACCGACGGGTATAGCTGTCGATGCATGGAGCTACACTTCGTGAGAAACGATACCCATACCGCTGCCCTTCCCTCGTGCTCCTTGTTGGGGGCCTCCTGGGAAGCCCTCGGCGCCCGCCACCGCTGGATTCGCCTTGAAATTCTGGTCAGAACGCACCCTGGGAGAGGTCCGGAGAATATCGGTATTGGTACGTTTTCGGTGGAGGAGGAGGAGGAGGAGAAGGAGGAGGAGGAGGAGGAGGAGGAGGAAAGGGAGTAACCTTCGAATTTCCAAGAGGCATGTAGTCCCAAAGTTGTGTACTAATGCTGCTACGCCTCTCCCGTGCTCGCCCCCAGGGCCCAATCTGATCCCATCGGTCCTGGTTTCGGCATTGATCCCGGCAGAACGCCATGGACTTCTGTCTTCAGACCCCCCTTCCTCCCCTTTGCGCCGGAAGGGGGGGGGGGGGGGGGCGGGTTCGACCCCCCCCCCTTCTTTTGGCTGGTTACGGGGTTAGGGCCAAACTTTTTGGGTCAGGGGGTATGGCAGGGCAGGGTACCACAAGGTAAGGCACAGTAGGGCAAGGTCAAGTTGGCCAGGTCGAGGGAGTCGGAGCGCCCAGCCTACTGCCAACCTGCCCCCATAACACAGGAATCACCTGTGGCACAACTTGAGCTGGGGATTGGAACGCGCTCCCACATAGCATGAAGTCGGGCATGCCCCCCTGCAGGAGGAATCTTCGAAAACGGACAGTCGTCTGGGGACATTCTACAATCTCGTCTTTGACTATGGTTGAGCATGTGTTGGCTTATTTAATCGCTTCGCTCATTCCGCCGGCCCATACAGTCTCATGTCTGCCGTTTGCCCGAGGGCCTGGTGTCAATGCGGCGCTTTGGGGGTTCCTGGGGCCGCTTGGGGGACTCCTGGGGCGCTCGGGGGGGCATTTGGGGGGCCTCCTGGGGCCGCTTGGGGGACTCTTGGGGGCCTCCTGAGGGCCTCGTGGGGGCCTCTTGGGGCCTCTTAGGGGCCTCTTGGGGCCTCGTAGGGGCTTCTTAGGGCCGAGGGCTCGAAATGTTGTTTCGTGTTCCCTCTCTGGGGCCCCTTTGGGGGCGTTCTTGGGGCCCTCTTGGACCGTCTTGGAGGCTTCTTGGGCCGTCTTCGAGCCCTCTTGGGCCATCTTGGGGCCCTCTTGGGGGCCTCTTGGGCCCTCTTGGGGCGATCTTGGGGGCCTCTTGGGCCGTCTTGGGGCGTCGGGAAGCCGAAAAGGTGGAAGCTCCAAAATCTTCAAAAACCTAAGGAAAAACAATGAATTTTGCCTCCGGGGGCCCTCTTGGGAGTGCTCTTGGAGGCCTCTTGGGGCGTCTGGGGGCTATCTTGGGCGTCTTGGAGCGATCTTGTGGCATGTCGGACCCCTCGTGTACCATCTTGGGGGCCTCTTGGGGGCCTCTTGGCCTTTCTTGGGGCTCTCGGGGACGTCTCGGAGCCCTGTTGGTGCGCTCATGGAGCGCTCCTGGAGCGCTCTGGGGGACTCCTCCCGGGACTCTCTCAGGACCTTGCCGGGGTACTTTCCGCCCGGGGACCCCCAGGGGCCGCCCCGCGCGCGCGAACTAGAGAATTGTTAACCAGTTACCGGAGATCTTAGCACGCCTCTGGCCCGTTGGGCCGGCGAATTTCTTTGTTTTGGAGAATTCTTCCAACATCCGCCTGAAGGAGGGCATGCCCGACCCAGACCTTAGCAAGCCGAAGGCGCCGCCGCGCGGCCCTGCTCCCCGACGGCCTGGCGGGCCCCGCCACGGTGCCGCGCCCCGTGGCGCGAGCGGCAGAGCCGCTCGCTGGGCGCGGCGGAGATCAGCGGGCGCGCTCCGCGGCTCGCGGAGCTCGGCGCGAGCGAAGTGACGAGTTCGGCGGAGAAGCAGGGCTGCACCTGAACGGCGTTTTTCGTTCTCGTGCTGTGTTCGGTTTCCCTCGTTTCGTCTTCCGTCCACCTCTGCCGCAAGACGAGGTCGAAGCGACAGCGGCCCACGAGATCGCCAAGACACCGCTCAGATCCAGCCCTGGAAAGAAGGGGTACAGTGCCCAGCAGCAGTTCCTGCTCACTGCGAACGGAACAAAGGGGTACAGTGCCCAGCAGCAGTTCTTCTTGCTCGTTTTGAACAGGGCTCGCTGTCCGCGCCGCCGCGGCCTGGGTCCACTTGAGACAGAGGGCCGCCTACCCAACGGCGGCCGCTGTTGGTTTGGACCAGCATTCGTTGTTGGGCACGGTGCCCAGTTATGTCCGCTCCCATTTCGGGCGTCCAACGAAGTGTTTGCTCGCAGGCAGCCCCAAAAGCACATGTCTGCGCCGACGTAGCGTGTCGCAGGCCTCCGATGGCGCAGCCGGGCCCCTTGCGAGCACCTGCTCTTTCGGCGTCGCACGCCTCCCATGGCGCATCCAGGCCCCTTGGCGAGCACCTGCTTGCTGCCTCGCGTGGAGAGCGCGCCCGTCCAGGCGGTCCAAGCCTGCGGCGCGCGGGCTCGGTGCTGCCCCTTGTCGCTCGCAGGCTGCGCGGCGCTGGGGGGGCGAGGCTGGCCGCTCTCGCCCGCCCCCTCGCGCGGCCCCGCCGCCCCGCCGTCGCCCCCCTGTGCGGCCCGGCGAGCGAGCCCTGCGCCGCGCCCGCCGCGGGAGCGCCGCTTCCCGCGAGGGGGGTGCGCGCGAGCGCGGAGGCTGGCCGAGGGGGCGGCACGCGCCGTCCGCCCCGTGCGCGCGAGAGAGATAGAGATCCGCGCCGCGCCGCGGCGGGAGCTCTGCACCCTCGGGGCGACATCCGGCGGGGCGCCGAGGCGAAGGTGAACCTGTTTTGAGGGGCCACGCGCGAACCCTGCCCCTGCCCCCCACGAGTTCTGATGTAAGGGTGGGGTTCACTTCGCTCGGGAGCTCCCGAGCGAATTGAACCCCACCCTCCCCCTTCAGAAATCGTGGGGGGCAGGGGTAGGGTTCGCATGTGGCTCCCTATGTTTTCCACCACCACCACCATCAGTTGGAGGGGGGGGGGGGAAGGAGGTGATGGAGGAGGAGGAGGAGGAGGAAGAGGAAGAGGAGGAGGAGTGGGAGGAAAAGGAAGATCAATGAGGAGGACAGGGGGGAGGAGGAGCAGGGAGGAGGAGGAGGAGGAGGAGGAGGAGGAGGAGGAGGAGGACACGCTCCCCGCCCAACTTATGGTGGCGGTGGTGGAAGGCAGGCCCATTACGCTACACCCTCGTGGCGCTCGCGCGTCGACGAAACGGGGGCGTGCGCAGGGCTGCGTGCTGCGCCCCCGCTGGGGCTCGGTCCTCGGGAGGGCGGTGGGCGCTGCGCCGAGGCGAGGGCTCTCGACCAGGAAGCACAAGGACACCGCCCCCGACCTGCGGCGCGCCGTGCTGGATGTCTGCCACCCCGCATCGCTGTCTTGCGCGCGGTGCTCCTCGCGCGGGGCGTGCGCCCCGTCCTCGCTTCTGCCGCGCACCTCTGCAGCAGGGGGCGAGATACCGCCCAGGCTGAGAGCGAGAACGTCGCCACGTGCAGCCAAAGACCATGACACAGCACACGCGCCTCGCCTAGGGTGCCCTTGGGTCCTTGCCTCTGCGTTCTGCGGCGCCAGAAATCGGCAAGAGCAGGTGCGGGCCGTGTCGCTCACCCCCAACCGCCTTCCCAACAAATACTCTGGATTCGAGATTTGGAACCGGTCTAGATGAGTTCATGAGATGTGGTTCTTTCGAAAGCGTACCGCCGAACCTTTATTGCGAAGGGTGGGCCCCGGAGCTCCACCACCAATTCTCCCATCGTCGTTCAGTGAAGTCGCGCGCCCAGGCATAATCCAGACGCGTTGTATGCTGCATGTTTTGTTGGCAGGGATTGTGGGCCTGCGCAGAGCGGACGACAAGGGGGCCCCCCCCGCCGCTCCCGTGTTCTTAGGTTGGGGCACCTCTGCTTCTATCCTTCGGCCTTCCGCCATGAGGGCAGCTTGTTTATGAGATTTTTATATATATATATATATATAAAAAAATCTAAGACATCACGTGACAGGCGCAGACGAATGCCAGGACGGCCGTTCCCTGCTCGAGTCCCTCCCTTCCTCCCCTTTACCCCAGACCACCCCTCCTCCTCCTCCTCCTCCTCCTCCTCCTGCTCCTCTTCCTCCTCCTCCCCCCCTCCTCCTCCTCCTTCTCCTTCTCCTCCTCCTCCTCCTCTTCCTCCTCCTCCCCCTTTCTCCTTCGACCCTTGCTCATTCCGGGATGCTCCATTCATTCTCCTTTTCCCTGCCCTCCTCCCTCCCCCCTTCCCCTCCTCCCTGCCCTCCTCCTCCTCCCTGCCCTCCTCCCTTCCCCTCTTTCCTTCCTCCTCCTCCTCCCTGCCTTCCTCCCCCCTCCTCGCTTCCCCTCCCGCTCCTCCCGTCCCGCCTGGTCTCCTCGATGTCGGCGCACGGGACCGCCGCTGCGCTTTGGCCTCCTGTGCCCCGCTGCCCCTGCCTCCTCACCCCCCCTCCTCTCCCTCTTTCTCTCTCTCTCTCTCTCTCTCCCTCTCTCCCTCTTCCTGTGTCCTCATCCTTCGATCATCCGCCCCCCATTTGTCAAGGGAGGAGAAAGCACCCGGACCCGAAAATCGGCGTTTCCTGAACGGCCCTGGGCGTTTACTGAAAAGCCTTGCCTTGTTCGATTCCTTCTGTGGGTACGTCTGCCGAACGGCTTCGCGTCTCAGGGTGATCATTATGGGAGGGAGGATTTTCTGCCCTGCATTTCTGTCTCTCCCATCTCCTGCCCCCCCGCCCCCTCCTCCCTCCCTGCCGCTTCGGCAGCCCCCCGCTCAACTCCCTTGCCTCGCGGCCCCGAGAGGGAAAGACCATGGCTCCGAAGAAGGACATGAAGAAGAAGGCCTCGGGGGCGCAAACAGCTACCCTGGGCAGTATAGTGGAGGCCCATGTCAAGAAACACCCGGCTTGCCTCCAGGGTGCCCTGGGTTTCTTGTGTTTCGATGGTTTTGCGACGGAGGGCGCGACGATCCCACACCAAAAATCAATGGACGCCCTGGGGTCTCAGGGTTGGGTTTCTTCTGGAAGGTTTCTTCTGGACTGGCCTCCACTGTACTTCGCTCTCCCCCTCCCCCCTGCCTCAGGGAAGGAACGGTTACCTATACCGCTACCCCTCGCCTCGCTTTCCGTTTTGTTCGGCCTTTTGGGAGGCCCTCGTCGCCACCGCTGGAATCGCCTCGAGGTCCTGGTCAGAACGCATCCCGGGAGAGGTCCGGGGAGTTCAGCGGCACAGCCCTCCTAGCCAGAGAGCAGAGGGGCGGCTGCGAGACTTTTCTGCCGCCTTCGGGCCTCTGGAGCCCTCGCTGGGCTCCGCGGCCGTCCTCAAGAAGGCCTCGGGATGCAGAGCCAGTCCCGGAGAAGAGGTCCCGACCTTCTGGGGGAGCCACGTGGTGAAGCAAGTGTGACGTGGTGTGTGCCGGAGTGGCGCGGGCAGGACAGAAGGGGAGAGGGAGAACGGGATGGGGGGGGTGGGGGGGAAGGTAGGGAGGGAGGGGCAGGCGGGGAGGACAGAGGTGGGGAGGACGAAGATGGGTTAGGGCGGGCGGAAATAGGGATGATGCGAAGCGGATGCGGGGATGGAGAGGGTGAGGGGGCGGCTGAGGGATGGGTGGAAGATGCAGAGTCGATCATGGAATGTGTATATCTACACATTTAGATGTTGGGTATGTGCATATATCTAGATGTGTTTGAAATGTGCGTATGTATCATAGGGGGAGGCAGAGAGAGAGAGAGAGAGAGAAAAAAAAAGAGAGAGAGGGAAAGGGACAGAAAGCAAGAGAAAGAAACATATAGTGAGAGAGAGAGAGAGAACGAGAACTGACGAGAAACAGAGAGAGAGAGGGAGGGGGAGAGGAAGAGGGAGAGAAGGAGGGGGGCGAGTGGAGGGAGGCAGGTCACGCCTGGGGCCCCCTCGTCGGCGCACGGGCCCCGAGGCGCGCTGACCCCCCTCCTCCTATATGGCCCCCCTCCGTCGGCGCACCCGAGCTCGGCGGCGAGCGTTGGGGGGGAGACGAGAAGAAGGCCTTCTCAGAAGGCGGCGGGGCTTTCTAAGAAGCCCTGCCGCCTGCCGACAAATGTTCTCCGTCGTCGGGGAAGGCTTGGAGCACTTTTCAGAAGGCCGGGGGACTTCCGAGCGTTCTGAGAAGGCCCGCCCCTTCTTACTTCCCTCTCGGGCTCGCCGCCGACGAGTACCAATCCTAGGCTGAAGTCGGGCATGTCCCTCTACAGGAGGAATATTCAACAATAGTCCAAACATAGTCTGCGGACGATTTATCTACTGCTTGTGACTCTTTTCAATTATTTGTCGACTAGCTTTAATTGCTCCAAAATCCCCCTTGGGAGAACGTGCTCGACCCAACGCCAGTCCCCCTCCTCCTAGCCCCCCTCCTTCGGCGCACCCGAGTGCCAATCCCCATGCCCCAGGCTGGGCCTGGCCAGGATCGGTGTGGGCGCATACTCACAGGTCGTTGAAGGTAGATATTTTTTGAGTCCCATATTCCAATCTACTTAGGCGCCTTCCTACTTCAATGATCGAGTGGCCTCACCTTTCCCGTCCTCTTCAGGGGGCGGGCGGACACCCAGTCTACTCTCAGCGCTTTCCTGCTTCATGTTTCTACCTACTTCTTCCGACCGATGGGTGCTGTTGGCGCCCCCCCCACTCAAAATCGGTCCTCTGGCTCTGGCTCTCCAGCCAGCAGCAGCCAGGAGGGAGCAGCAAGACACAGGCACACAAAATACACGTCGATACCGATGGCAGGGGATCATATACAGTGGGGGCGCGCATCGAGAAACCATCTGCTTTTCGTCAGGGTATCCTGGGTTTCTTCGCTCCTCGCGCTGCGCGGCGACTTCCGCGGCCGTTGAAGGAGCTGCTGCGTTCAGGATGTTCCGGATTTCCCCTCTCTGGTGCACCTCGCGCGCGGGTTCTCAGGGTTGGGTTTCTTGCGAGGGTTTCTGCGGCCGCGCCCGCACTGTATGGGAAGTTGAGGGGGGACTCCCCCCTCAACTGCATCTCGTCTCCCCGGGAGATGATTGCCAGCACAATGGCAAGAAGATTTTCTGGGAATCCTGGACTCTGTGCATCTGTGCTGGTGCCTCCCTGAGCCCTCATATTGAGCCGGGCCCGTCCCTCTGCAGGAGGAATCTTCGACAACAGTCAGCAAATAGTCTGGGGACGATTTGTTCGAGTATTGTGTTCGACATGTTGGGGGTGTTCTGCGAGTTATTTTCAAATGTCTCGCCTGAAATCCCCCTGGTTCGCGGTCTTGGTGACGTGGCACTTTCGGCAGTTGTCCCGTCTCCTCCTCCCCTGCTCCTCCTCCGGAGGAGCTGGAGCCAGGGCTCCCAACCTCGCGCCCTCGCGCCGAGGACCGCGAAGCGCGAAGCGCGAAGAACTTCGCGCCCTCGAGGGCGCCCTTGATATATATATATATATATATATGGAGGAGGAGGAGGAGGAGGAGGAGGAGGAGGAGGAGGAGGAGGAGGAGGCCCGGCCTGACCCTAACAAGCCGGGAGGGACCGGCGGGGGCCGGCGGACCCACCTCGGAGGCGGGCGCCCCCCGGCCGCGGGCCGCCCCCGCTCGATGGGGGGGAGCGCCGGCGCCACGCACGGCGCGCCCTCGAGGGGGCGCGGCGCTCTCGTGCGCCCCGCGTCGCGCGTCGCGCCTTCGGCTCCGACCGCTCCTCGTCCTCCCCGTTCGGCGGCGGCGCTCGTCCTCGCTCCTCGTCCTCCCCGTCCTCCCCGTCCTCGCTCCTCGTCCTCCCCGTTCGTCCTCGCTCCTCGTCCTCCCCGTCCTCGTCCTCCTGGAGATCGACGCCAGCACCAATCTCGGCGGCGTGCTTCCACCGGGGGAGGATGATCCCGAGCTCGGTAGCGGTGGCTGTATAATTAGAGATAGATAGATAGATAGATAGATAGATAGATAGACAGACAGATAGATAGATAGATAGATAGATAGATTCGGGCTTCCCAGGTGACCGAAGGATTTCCACCTACACCCAAATCCTGGATCATCTTCTTCCCGTGGAGGCAACCCCTGGCGTTGGTGTTGGTGCCCATTTCCACGCGTCCTCTTCTTCGCCCCTGGTGGGCTTGCGCGAGAGCGCGAAAGCTTTTCGCGCTCCCGCGCGCAGCGCGGAGCGCGAAGCTGGGCGCCCTTGGACCTGGCCCCGGAGCGCGTGGTGTGGCGACGGATCCCGTTTCCGTGCGGCAGCGGCGCGGGCGTCGTCGCCAAAATGGAGGCGGCACTGGCCTCGTGCGTGTAGGGTGCCTCCCCGATTCGTGGATCTGGCTCCCACGCGCCAGATCCACGAATCGCTGCTCCATGTTCCGCCACCCCGTAAACCACTCCAGTTCAACCCGAAGGCCCCAATCTGCCCGTCCATTGCCGGTGGGGGGGGGGTCCGGGAACATTGAGAAAGCACGTATGAAGCCCGTACCCCCTCCCCATCCGAAATTCGGGTCTTCGGATTGGGTTGGGGTGGTCATCGAGCACAAACGGACCCCTATCCCGAATGGCGCGATGAAGACGTGGCATCACTGAGGCCCCCGTCCTCGCACTGGGGGTGATCATTCTGGGCGCTCTGGTCTGATACGTCTGCAGAACAAGAGGCCTCCCTATCCATGTGTTTGGCCTTCCTATCCCTAAGGTTCCCTCCCTATCCCTGATGTTCCCGCTCTCTATCCGAAATCCCTTCTGCAGTGAAGACCCCCTCATCCATAATGATGCTCTCTCCCAGAGGGTTAGGTGCACCTGCAGAGAAGACCCCATATCCCTAATGTGCCTCCTGACTTAGGTCCCCTCCCAAAGGGTGAGGGTTGCTTTTGCGCGGCCGACGGAAGTGGACGGGGGGAGTCTTGAGGCGGGTGATGGGCAAATTCTCCACCACCACTACCACATGTAGGACGGGGGAGAAGGGAGGATGAGGAGGTCCTCCTCCTCCTCCTCCTCCTCCTCCTCCTCCTCCTCCTCCTCCTCCTCCTCCTCCCTCTCCTACATATGGTGGTGGTGGAGAATCGGCCCATCAGCGAGGGTCACTCTGCCGACGGGGGTGCGCCAGAGAGGTGGACCTTGCAGGATTCTGCGAAGCCTGGACTGCATGGGCCCCGGCCGCAGCGCGCAGGATCCTCCAGGATCCTGCAGAGCCCCACTGACTTTTCCATTGACCGGGCTCAGTGGGGCGTCGCGCGGGGGGGGGGGGGGCGACACATGGAGGGGGGGCAGCGAGGGCTGCAGAAGAGGAGCCCTCTAGGGTCCCGAGGGGGCCCCTCTTAGGGCCCAAAAGGAGGCCGTCGGGTCTCGAGAAGGGCACCTTGCTCCCCTCGCCCCCCCCTCAGTTGAGCTCCGCCACCAAAACAATATACACAGACACCCTACAATGGACTGTTCCTGGGCCTCGGGGGAGGGCGGGGGCGTGTACGTGTGTCCACTGCGAACCACCGACTCTTCATACACCGCTGCTCTCATAGAAGGTCCGTGCAAAACTCGTCGGAGGGCGTCTTTGTGTGTATATATGTTCGTGGCGTATTTGCGATGCCTCAGTCACTAGATCCCCGATTGATGTGTCAGCGATAACGATCGCAACGATAACAACCATCACAACGATCGCAGCGATCACAACCATAACAACGATCACAACGACCAGAACGGCTCACAACGATAACAACGATCACACCGATCGTAACGATAACAACGATCACAACTTTCACAGCGACAGCAACGACACCGATGACCATAGCAATCACAGCCACGGCAGTCACAGCGATAACGATCACAACGACAACGTTGATCGTTATCGTTGTGGTCGCCGTGGTCGTTCTCGTTGTCGCCTTCTGGTCCGGGGCGCCGCCGCCCGCTGCGCGCCTCGCTGCCCCCGGGGAGGCCGCCGAGGAGGAGCCCAAGGCCGAGGAGCCGCCCGCCAAGAAGGCGAAGGGCGAGGAGGAGAAGGCCGAGCCGGAGGAGCCGAAGGAGAAGGAGCAGGAGCCGCGGGTCCGGGAACCGCTGTGGATGGGGCTGCTTACAGTCGGACTCGATGGGAGAGGACACGCGAGAGGACACAGGACCCTTCCCTTCCGAGGGCCACACCGCCATAGGAGTGCAAGGAGGCACGTGTCGCGAGGCACAGGACACAAGGGGACCCTTGAGCTGGCAGGGTCGACCTGCCAATCTGGGCCGGCTGTATTTGGGTGGTGGATTGGGGAGGCTTGGAGTACCAAGGTCTGGCGGGCTTGCTGTTCCTGTACCCGGCGGGCGCATGCTCTCTTTTTATGTTTTCTGTCTGGTTGTTTCGCACGCGCGTGCCGCCCCTCTGCGCCCGCTGAGGCCTTCTTTTGCATAGCCATGGAACGCCGCGATCATCCGATCCAGGTCCGTGCAACGTCAAGAATCCGCGGGTCTTTCGACGCAGCCAGCACTGTTCTTCATGGCTGGTCAACGTCAGAACGAGCCGCGGGTCGGTGGTTCAGAGATGGGGTCCTGAGGGACGGGTCGGCGGCGAGCGAGGGGGGGAAAAGAGAAGGAGGAGGCCTTCTTGCATGGCGGCGGGGCTTTTTGGAAGCCCCCCCAGCCCTCTCATAAGTTGTTTTGCGTCTTCGGGGAAGGCTTAGAAAACATCTTGGAAGGCCAGAGGACTTCCGAGCCTTTTGAGAGGTCCCGCTCCCTCTCTTTTGTCCCTTGGCTAGCCGCTGAATGGGGTCCTAAGGGTAGGAACGGGTTCAAGGGTGGTTTTACAACCAGCCCGCATAGTCAGGATACGCGGCTTTCCAAAGTTACCCTTGCATCCTTCCCCTTCGGCCCATCCTTGGCCGATTTCGCGGGCCGCGCCCCGCCCGCACAGTGTCGACATAGCCTTCCAAGGCCTTTGCATCCTTATCGCGCGTTCTTATTCTACGGGGTGGCTGTGCATTGTTTGAGGCACCTCGTCCTTACGAGCCCCCCCCCAGGACCCCACCTTTGAGCCGCCGGAGAGGGGGCCTCGCGCCCGCGCGCCCTCCAAGGTCAGAGGAGCGCGCGAGTGACAGTGATGATCTCCAGCGGCGAGCGTTCGAGGTCCGAGGTGTTCGTTCTTTTTGTTGTTCGATCCTCGAGGTTCTCTCGACGTGTTCGTTGGCTTTCGGCGGCTTTCCAGCCTCGGGATGCTCTCCAGTGGCCACGCCTCGCTGGGAGCCGTCCGGGGTGCCCGGATCGTCCCGAGCGGCCGTCGGAGACGCGAGTTATGGCCCGAGAGCCAGCAGGGGGCCGGTAACAACCAGGGGGGGGAGGAGGGGCGAGGGCGTGGGCGAGGGCGAGGGTGGAGGAAGCAGGAGGAGGAGGCGGAGGAGGAGGAGGAGGAGGAGGAGGAGGAGGAGGAAAGGGAGGAGGAGGAGGTGGAGGAGGAGGAGGAGGAAGAGGAGGGGGGAGCTGTGCTACCCTGGCCGATCGACAGTTCAGGCAGCCGGTAGGCCTGGAATCTGTCGGACACGTGGCGCAAAGGCGAGCCCCGCCCCCGCCGCCCCATCGATTCCAGGAGAGCCGATGGTCGGCGGGGGAAGGCTTCGGATGTCGCCACTCATGATGACCGATGGGTTACAACTTAGGCGATGCTTAAGAAAACTTAACTTTTCGGCCAGAGTCTCGATTATTCTTAACGTTTCAATGTAAATCTTAAGATTTTGATAGAAATTGTGGGTTCTTATTCAAGTTCTGAGGCCATGAATTTCTTAACCCATGATTTCTTAAGCATTTCGCAGGGTGTACTCCAGAGTTCGTAATAAAGGGAGGGGGTCTCATTTCGGGGGGGGGTCTCTTCCAGGCCATCTTGGAGGGCCTGGGGGGTCTGGGGACGATGTTTTGGAGGGTTCTCCCGCGGGGGAGGTCTGAAATGGCTTGTCTTGGAGGGTCCAGACCCCCTCCCTTTTATTACGAAATCTGGAGTAATCTGGCTACGTCTGTGCCGTCGCACGCTACCGCCGACCTTGCCGTACAATGCCATCGGCCATCTTCGCTATGACCGCAGCTGTCAAAGTTGCTTGGTGCAACTCTTCCTTTCGGGTCGGGCACAAACACACATACACACATACACATACACATACACACATACACACATACACACTTAACGTAGTTTCCACTTAACGGATAATAACAGATAATGGCGTGTCGTCCATGAACGTTGCAGCCGTTTGGGAATTCAGACCAAGGGACATTGTAGAACAGTATAGCAAAGCCTTATACCAAACACCATGTCAACAATTATTGACCCTCTTGCAAATGAGTGGACATGGTAGATCACCGAAGGGCCCCACTTGGAAACGCATGTTCCAACGCAGAATTCTGATTTCACCGGGGGCCATGGAGAGCTGTCGCAGTACGTGTCACCCGCGAAGTGGAACAAATGGCAGATCAGGAGATGTTTGATTTGGCCAGTAGAACCTGTAAAGTTCAAAGTGCGCAAAAGGGGGAGAACTGACATGGATCTTGCTAAGTTTGGATATCCAATGACAGGGCGTACCAGTTCAAGGAGCACTCGTGGTTTTGAAGACCTTGTCGGGCAGTCCTCTTTTAGTACGGTTTCCATTTCAGTGTCTAGCTGGGGCCCGGGACCAAATTGCCCGACGGCAGAAGATGATAAGCGCCAGTGAAAGGCGGAAAAGAGAACGTTTTGTGTCGTAGGCCAGTGTGTGGAGCATGCTCTTTCACGGGTAAGCATTGTACCAGTAGCTGGTGTTGTAAGGATTGTATTGACCTGCAAGAGCACAGCTCTCAAAATATCAGGACAGTTGCACGGCAGCCAAAGGAACAATAACTGGCCAGTGCGAGAGAAAAACTCAGCGAACTCATGGCTGCTCAGATGGCGATTTAACTTGAGACGTTGAAACGACAAAATGAACGATGGATGCTTATAGCTCAGAGTCCCCACCTGAATCAACATTCGACGTCGGGGGCAGTTCGATTGTCTCTGCAGGAAGCTGAACATGAGAAGAAGAAAATTGAAGAACATCGGCAATCATGGAGGAATACACAGCTTCACAGGAACAAGTGGCAGAGAAAGAACGTCAGATGCTGCGCGACTTCGAATGGGGCCGAGTGGCCGCACCTATTTCCGAGTAGACAGTGGCGGCAGTTCTTTGCGAAAGGACGGCGCAGGCCGCTAGCGTAGCGCAGCAGGAAAGGGAGAGGGCGAATTTTGCAACCCAGCGGGCATTTCTCAGGGAGCAAGCCGCCATTGATGGAACGAGGAAAATCAAATACGATGTGATCAAACCGGAGAGCGCGCAAAACAATTTTGAACTCGTCCAGTCAGAACTCGCCCAGGAGAGAATGGCTAGGGGTGCTGGCCGCGCCTTTGGTTCAAATTGCGGCGTCGGATCGCGCGCTTTGGCCGCCCGAGATTCCGGGGCTCTCTGCTGGACAGGCGCCTCCTCCAATCGACCCTGCCCCTGCCCCGACTCAGTCGGTTGGCAGCGGGGGCGGGGCAGCTTCGGATTGCAGGTGAGAAGCGCCCGCGGTCGCCGCGAGGGCCCAGGGGGAGGGGCGGCGCTCCATGGGAAAAGTGTAATTTGTGCACTGCCCATGCCGGCGAATCGAGCACAATGTGGCGCGCCACGTTGCAGCGGTTACATGGGCGCCGGCATTGGGGGATGCGCGCTTCGCACCCGGCAAGGGGGCCGATGCCGAATCCGAGGCAGGCTGCGCGCGGTTCGATGGAGCAGAGATGCAGAGGGCGTCTCGCCAGCTAGAGGAGGACATGAGGAACCCCGCGTTCACCGAGGCGCAATGCGAAACCCTGCGTCAGATCCGCGCGGAGAGGAAAACTCAGGCACGCGTGGGATGTTTGATCGGGCAACGCCGCAGCCTACCATTTCTCCGTCGCAAAGGAGGCAGAGGCCTGCGCGCCCACTGCAACAGTGGAAGGGGTATCACATGGCATCCGTCACTTCCCCAGCACGGGCTCCGCTGTCGCAGCTTCCAGCGCGGCCGCCTGGCCACCTGTTCCGCCAGTGGTTAAACTTCCAGAAGGCGCGGGAAGCCTCGGCCAAGTCCCCTTCCAAGCCGGTTCAACCGGGGGCGACGGGGCAGGAGGTGGGGGTGTGTCGGGGGCAAAGACAATCGCAGTTGTTTTCCAGGGCTGGCCATTGGCCGCCGGGCAGACCGGAGGTGGAAGGGGCGCTCCCCCGCCGCCGCCTGATCCTCAGCATTGCTGGCGACGGTGACGTTGGCCTTTTCCGGCCGGGCCCTAGTGGGCCTCAGGCGTGGAAGTTGCATGCCGCGCGTGTAACTCCTTCTGCTTGACCCGATGGCGCAGGAGCGCGGCCTCGGATCATGGGCGCCATGGGCCGCGCGGTTCAGGCTCCGGAGTCAAACGATCCAGGGCGTTTCACTCGTTTCGACCGAGAGGTTAAGAAGTATTCTTCGCAGAAGGGCCCCGCCCGCGCAGCAGGTCCATCTTGTTGCCCCGGCGGACAGGATGGATCAAGGTGTCCACGACAAAATGCCGTGTCTGATGGGGCGGGCAATGATTCGTGCAATTTGCGCATGGGCGTCGTTTCGCTCGGGGCGTAGATTACTTATGTCGAGGCCGCCGTAAGATCGAGACTCGCGGGGTCTACCCGACCAGGATCTGTTTAGATCTATAACGAATGGATGGCTCTTAATCGCGGTGGAATGCGCGGAGGTAAGTCGCTCCCCTTTTTTAGGACGGCGGCCGCCATTCGCGAGCATCCCTGCGAACCAATGAAGCGCGTGCCTAGGACATGCACAGCGCTCGCCTGGTGAGATCCCACAGAGAGTAAAATCGGAGACGGCGCTCGCCCTACCAGTCGCAGAAGCTAATTGATCGCGAACGTGTGGATTTTTATTTCGATTCCCGAATGATGACAGTGTATCAGCGTGGACGACGGGGGCGCGAGATGGCTAGCGAGGCTGCGCCGGGGGCTGCCCCGGGCTCGAATCCGTCGGAGAAGGCCGCAGACCGCGCCCGAGACGGGCGCGCGATGAAAGAAGTC